TGACAGGCTGTGGGATTAGCACAGCTAGCCTTCGTCTGGTTATAACTGGTGGTGTTTTTCTATCTGCTCTTTTTACTTTGACCTCTGATCTTAGCTAAACATTTTCTTCCACACAGCTGCTGCTTACTGGATATTTAATCTTTTTCAGACGATGCGATCGGCAAATTCAATATTTGTGTTGAGCAGTTGAACAGGTGTCCCTAATAATGTAGCTGGTGATTGTACCTATGATTTAAAATTAATAAATAGTGGACCGGGGAAAAAACTGCATAACTTTTGATGTGTTTCCAGACCTTATTAAATATTTAATTTAATCCTTGTCACAAGAATCACAGCAGAGAAAAGAGTCCCAACCTATCTGTGAACTGCTTTAGTTTTTAGTTTGTTTTAATTACGCTGCATCCGAGATGGAGAAGCTGAGGCTCAACTTGGCTAAATAGACGACCAAACATTAAAGCACTACAGATTCTTCAGTAGCAAAGTAGATAAAACAACGATGAAGGATTCCCAGGATGTTCTGGCGAACCTCAATAAGCTAAATCTTGTCATTTCCTTCCTCCAAATAGATTTTCAAAGGGGAATTTAAATGGGCCAACTATGAGAGATGCCACGGGCGAGAACGCTCAAATTACCAACAATGTGGAGAAAAATGAGTCTGAAGGCAGACAAGAGCCATTGGGGGTTTTGAAGATGTGGGTAGACTGATGCATTTTCACAGACAATTCATCAAAAGCCTCTTTTCGTAGCGAAACCGCACACCGGCCATTTCTGTCTGCTCTCGGTTTGGGAGAACGGCGTACGGCAACAGAGCGGCGTCAGCTTCTGAGCTGCAGTTTCAGGAATGAAAAGTGAAAAATAGATAAAACAATAGAGAGAGGAGGGCAGAGAAACAAAGAGGGAGAACGGGAAGGAGAGGAGAGCGGCGGCGGCTCGGTGGGGGGGCCCATAGTAATGAACAGGTGGTGGGGGAGAGAAGGTTAAGCCTGTTTCTGTGGGTGTCGTTGGAACCTACCCCGTGCTGCGTGGACAGATGTGTGGACGGGCCGCTAGCTAGCTGTAGCCGGCCCCCTCCCCTCCTGCCTGGACGCTGCTGCCAAAGCCCACTAGCTTGTGCTCAAAAACTCACTCATTTATCCGCCTTTGTTCTTTGTTATTTTTGGATTTGATTAGAAATCGCCTCCCTCCACGGAGAGTCACAGTCCCGTCTCCTCCTCTCGCTCGCTTCTGTCGCAGGTTGTGATGTTTCTGAGCTGGTCCGTTGGCTCTATCAGAGAATCCAGGTGTGTAACGGAGGCCTGCTGACAGGCAGCGAGCGAGGAACAGGATGCTGTTGCTTAAATATTTGTAGTTTGCTCGTCAGAGCCTTGTTTGACTGCAGCCTGGATTCGACAGGCAGTTTTTACCTCATCAGCTCAAAGGCCGACGTTTCAGCTGAATCCATCCGGGAACAAGCAGGGAGGGAGGAAAACTGAAGATCTCAGGATGATCCCAGCAGTCAGAGCGTCACTTTCAGGAACCGTCTTCACGTTGCAGCCAGTTGGGAGTTTCATCGTGTTTGTATGTTCAAAACAAAGTGGTGCATAACTGGGAGGAAAATTAATGCTTTAGAAATGTTATTTTGAAAAGGATGTCATGCATTAGTATGACGGCATCGACGGCTGATTTATTAATTTAGTAATTAGTTTCTCCGCCATTAGCACATTTAGCAGCGAGTACATGAGGTTGATTGACAGCGCTAAGACCCTCCTCCTGACTGGTGGTTTAGCTCAGGAGGAGATTGATTGTTTTTAGAAATAATCTGCCTCATATAATGTCACAAAACAATTTTAATAAATATGGAAAAAAACATATTTTTGTAAAGGTTTAAAAACTATCCGATACGATTCAGTTTTACAGTGAAAAGATCGGAACTGGGCTGAAAAAGTCAGACATAAGTCGCATTTATCTGCTGTGTGAGCGTAGCCAAGATTTTGTTTTTAATATATGAAAAATGTTTCCAAGATTCTTCTGCTTTGTCTGCCGCATCCGAATCTGTGCAAACATTAATTCTTGTTTTTAAAGCTCCAGAACAGGGGAACAAATGTAGGAAAACTGGACTGCGTGTTTGTGTGTCTTGGGTGGAAATCACCTGTGTTGGCACAGCAGAGTCTGTATTTTGTCAGTGCACAGAGATCTGGCCTGCACCTGTTGTCAGACACACACACACACACACACACACACCAGATGAAAATCAGTCGACAGCACGGCCAGCCTCATCAGATGTGCCCACTCCTGTTCCGTTCATTAACGTCCAACTGAAGGCGGCTGGCCCGCGGCCTGATGCCGGTCCCTCTCGGCTAAACAGCACCCCCACAAAGCAAACACGCCGGCACAGACACGCAGCAAGAAAACAACTAAAATTTATTTAACGGGAAATCACAGCAAGCAAAAACAAGAGCCGAGTATAAGAGGAGGAAGTTGCCGGAGGTTGGCGAGCGCAGCCGTAGCCTTGGTTTTTTGGAGGTCAGCTGGGAATTTTGGATTGGCGTCGACGGTGTGACGCCCACAAGCTCTGCCCGTTCTCCCCGGGATGCCAGCGCCACCTGCTTACATTGTGGATGGCAGCTTTGTTGCCCAGCGGGAGGGCTGGATAGACGGACGCACAGACAACATGTTTCGGCTAGTTTGTTTGGAAACCTGCGGCCGCCCAGCCAGAGAGAGGAAAAACTTTGGGAGAGAGGGGTGAGGGAAACAGAAACAGAGACGGAGGGATTCTCTGGAGTTTGCCACGTCTTGCTCAGTCAGACCGATAAGACGATTAACGGAAAGCGACCCGAAACGCCGATGGAGGGGATTTTCCTCGGCCCACTTCGCTGGCCGTGGCAGCCATGGTGGCGTCTCGCCATCGTAATGGCCAGGTTTATCCAATAATCACACAAACGCACAAAATCTATGTGAAATGAACATTGTCACACCGTATGAAACCATCCGACCCGCAAAGGAAGCTGGAAACATCCTGCTTTTCCGAAGCCTCCCACTTTGTGTGAACTTTAATTTTTCCCACACAAACGACTCCTAACCTCTGATGCAGCAGTGAGATTATTACCGATTATTACTGCTTTCCCTGTTTTATCGCTCATCAGTCCCAGCAAACAAGCCAACTAACCAAGTGACAAATTAAAATGACTCAATAGTTTCCATGATTTACTGTTTTTCTCTTTTCTCTGGATGATAAAACTGGTGACCTTTTGCTTCCAGAGACGTCATCATTTGTTTTGTTTGCTGTTTTTGGTGTTTTGTTTCTTTATTGATCAGTTCAAGTGTTAAAAGTTCATTAGAATTTAAAGTTTAGTGATCTTTGACAGAACAAATTTCTCAAAACACCAATATTATTGTTTATCGCAAAAGCTTCTGGGACGATTTATCGTGCAGCTAAATTCGTTATCATGGCAGACAGCACATGGTAGGACAGACGGAAAGTGATACGTGGGTTCAGAGATTTTTTTTTAATTTTCCATCATTTTGGACATCAGGCAACTAAATGAATCGATAAAACAAATCCCAGTGCATTTTGATTTGAAGCGTGTTCAGTTCAAAAGTGCATCACAAAGCGCACAGTTTATTTTAAATTCAAAAATACTTTATAGGGGAAATTAAATGTTTTTGTAACTCAGATTAATTCTTCATAGAGTTACGGTAGAGAACCGGATTTATTCACGGATGCTTTTCTCTCCATTTGCTAATAAAATGAATAAAACCTTCATGCAAAGCTAGTTGAAACATGGAAGACTTGCAGCGGGTGTTGGAGTACTAATTCAGCGGGAATTAATATAAATATACAGAAATCACGATGCAGAAGGTAAAAGAAACTGTAAACAAATGAGGAAAGACTCGAGGATATCACCACTTTTACAAGGAAATGTGTTCAAGAGTGACAGAGAGAGAGGCTGAAATATATCTGAAACTGCTTGCCCTATTTTTAAGGAAGTGATTGGAGAGCAGCAGGAAAAGTTTCTGCTGCGTTTGTGCCGAGGTCGAGCGAGCGCAGAGGCCTGGGAGGGAAAGCACCTGCAGAGGAGGAGCGCGTTCTGGGCCGCGGGCGATGAAAGAGCCGGGGTTTCATCGCTTCCTGCAAAGGTAAAACTAACACAACCGCACTCTGGCTGCGTGGAGACGTAAGCGTCCGGTGTCAGAGGACTTTCTGAGAAGACGCTGTTTTTTTTAGCTTCACTCGAGGGTTTGACAGAACAGAATGTTTCCTTCTGCTGCTGGTAGGAAATTCAGCAAATACAAATCAGCTTGTTTCTCATTCCTACTTTGTTTCGGCACGTTGTGAAACGTCTCACCTTCGCTGAACAATCGCTGACGGGAGAGTTTGTTTACAATCAAAATAACAATAATAATCACTTTCAACCTTCTTCATGTTTTATTCAGTGTCCAGGAGGAAAGAGAAGGTAAATATCTCTCAAATGCTCCACTGGTTATTCCTCCACATCAATCATTAATATGCAAGTCTCTTCAAACCCACAGAGCAGAAAGGTCAAAGGGCATCTGTAGGCCTCCATTGTAGATGGAGGTGGGTGCTTCACAACTTTCATCCTCCCTGAATCCAAATGAGATCAAATGAGATTTATTAGCATAAAAAGTAGTACAGAGGAACGGCATAGAGAATATAACACTATGAATAAAGAAAAAACTTATTTAATCAGCAGCAGGTTATTGAAAAAAATGATTCAAACATAAAAAGATGTCTGCTCTAACCCTAAAGACCCAATGACAAACATTAGGTCTGCTAACGCTGAAGCGCTACACCAACATGGAAATTAGCAAAATGCTAACACAGTTTATAGAGGAAACAAAAACATTTCTGAGTTTGAAAAGCAGAAAAAAAACTTAAAGTTTGGGATTGATCTCAGAAAAAAAAGTAAATTTCTGCCCAATTATTGGCCGAAAAGTTGAAAATTTTAGACGTTTGAAACTCATAAATTTCCAAGTTTTATCTAGAAAATTTCTGAGATTAATGTAAAAATTCTAGAGATTTTTCTAGCAAATTTTTGAACATTTTTCTGGAAACTGGCTCCTTTTATAAAACCACTTCACAGCAGGCTGACACGCCGCCATGCTCCAGTCATTTCTATCTTTTATGAATCTGCCGAAGTTGGTTCCCTCTGTTCCAGAATCGGACCACCGTCACAACAACCTGCACGTCATTTTAATCTTCCCTCTCAAAGGTACATCCTGAAATCACGAGAAATGAAACAAGAGACAGGAAAGACGGATGGATTGATGCTGCGAGAGAGAGAGTGATCGAATCACGCGGCGCTGCAGGAAGTCTTCCTCCCGTCAATCTGAACCCACTCAGCTTCCTGCGCAGCAAACCCGATTAGCTGCCTCTGCTCCGACGCTGGTGCGACTTTAAAGGGGGATGTGGGGATAATATGCATTATTACTTTTATCCAGTAAGTGAGGCGGGCCAATAATTGGGCAACGCTGGAGTTTTATTGTTCCCAGCTGCTGAGGTCATTACTAAACGTCAAAGAGATGCAACATTTCCTGTCGCTCTAACGACAGTAATCACTTCCCTCTCTCCCCTGAATACTCCGCCGCGCATCCTGGCCATGGAAGGTACAGAGATGAGACTTCTTCATCATCTTTATTGGATTCGTCCTGCAAACCGAATCATGGTAAACACACACTGCATCATTTTCCCATATTTTCTCATATAGACTGACTGCCTCGCTGCAGCTGCTCGAATTATTGGCTAATAATAAACTTCTACGTCCGTTCTCGGAGATGTTCCTGCTGAACTGGAGGAGCGAGCTGAATCTTTTCCCTTCCTGTCAGGCAGGTGAACGCCCTGCAGACAACAAACCAGCAGAGGAGCTCTGTTTTTAGAGGCTGGCAGACTTCACAGGTGTCACAGCTCAGGTGAGAAGAAGATCTGAGGGACGAAGGGCTGCAAGCTGGCAGCGCGACTTCATCTGGGAGTTACGTGTTCTTAAACGAGATCCAAATATAGATCCAGTTTGGGTGGAAGGAAGGGGTTTGTTGTTTCTCCAATAAATCTTTGAAAGGTTCTGCATTGTCTCACAGTAGCTGCAGTTTTCTACAAACAGACGGAGAACGTTAGTTTGGCCAAAGTTATAACACACATAATGCATGTATGCTACATATATGAAAATGGATGACAGTGAATGAACAATCTAAGGATGTTCTCCCTCCTGATAGACTAAAAACTCCATCATCTGCTCCACCTCCAGCTGCTGTGGACCACCAGACATTTCTGTTGCTAGTGCTAGGCTAGCACATTAGCTTTGATTGTATTTACCCAAAATGCCCTGCGCTGAAGTCCACTTCCTGCTTTTGGAGCGGCCTCTGGTTCTCTTGGTTCAACCGAACCCAGATCGAGGTTTAGAGGACCAGAGTTCACTTCTCTGTGCAAGGCATTCTGGGTAAATACAACCAAAGCTAACATGCTAGCCTAGCGCTAGCAGCAGAAATGTCTAGTGGTCTTCAGCCAAAGACTAAAGAGAAATCATCCAACTGCTAAAATCTGATGCCTCCATTTTTATTTAAATTTTAAACTCAGCGTCTTCAGAGGTTTTTGTGTTGTTTCCTTCAGTGGTTCTTGGTGCAGCGCCCCCACAGGCCAGGAGGGGAACAGGCTGGTTTGACTCAGAGCCACAGCAGCTGCAGGTGGAGCAGATGATGGAGTTCTGGTTAAAACGTAACAGAGTCCACAGGATTATCAGGTCTATCTAGTGAAATAAATGTCCCATTTCTAAGGTTTGTGTTGCAGTGAAAATGTGGCTTTGCAGAACATCGACTCGAGGGACCAGAACCACAATCCACATCAACTGAAAAGTTAAAACTTTCTAAGAAGTCTGAGCTTCTCCTCTTCCAGGTTTTAATCTTTGTTGAGGACAAACACCTCGGCATTCCTGCCGTATTCAACAGAAATCAGAAACATTGGCTGCAGTCGTTCCTCTCTAACCCTTTTGATCTGGGCTGAGCCTGGGCGTCCTGCTCCCTACACCCACACGCTGCCTGCAAAGAGAATTATTCATTGTTTTCAGCGCACGACTAAAGGGTTTGAGCTGAAAGAGCAGCTGCCTTCACAGTTAGTTTTACACCGCTGCTGGTTCCAAGCAGCTCTGCTGACTGGAGGTCTCCTCCTCACTGTCGTCAAATGAAAGAGCCGCTTATTAAACATTTAAGGCCACGAAAACAGGCAAAAGGATCAGATGTCAGATCAAAATGGATGCCTGTTATGTTAACCAGTCTTTAAACTCTTTTAGTTGTAAATCTGACATTAAACTCATAAATTCTCTTCCATGTTTTTAGCACTTTTTCAAAGATTTGAAATAAAATATGCAGCTTTCGTTTATGGAAGCTGAATATTTAACTAAAATTTTAATTTAGATAAATATTTATCTGAAGCTAAATTTAGTTTGAAGCTCCATATTTACATGGGACCAAATATTTAGTTTGAAACTGACATTTATAAATGAATGAATTTAACTTTGACTAAATAAAACACGTTGGTTTGTTTTATCTCAGGCTAAAAACCCAAGTTATTGTTATTTTTTCTGCATAACTTTACAAACCACAACCCATAGTTTTTTCTTCACTTATTAAAATAAATGTGTGTGATGATGTTGCTGCTAAAAACTAATTTATTCCAAACTTTCCCAATAAGTTTTACAGACTCTTGGGCAGGGTAGGCAAGTATAAGTTTATTCCTTTTCTGATAGATTACGGGTTTGTTTATTATTATTGTTTTTGTTTTCTGTGCATAATGTTGATAATTTACCAAAATAAAGTGAATACTGTGGACTGTCAGCCATCTTTAAACAATTGATTTCTGCTTATTTTCAAATATTTTAACAAACTTTTGGGGTAATGATGACATGTGGATGAAATTAAAAATGATTCCAGCTCTCACCAAGTTTCCACTGAGGTGCGAAGCTGAAAAATGCGGCAGGAATCTCCATGCGGCGCTGACTGCAGGCGGTTGGCCTGATGTGAGCCTGGCTGGTCCCGCTCCGCGCTGCAGCTGGCGCCCGGCGCCCAGCCAGGGCCGACCCGCAGTCCGACTCACTGGACCCATTAAAGGAGAGAAGCAGGAAAACCATCAGCTGTAAGAAATGATCAACTCTCTGTGAATCAGAATCAAGCTGAATAAACAGATTTATTCCAATAATTCAGCATAAAAAGCCATTTTTCACACATTTCTGTAAACTCTGGTTTTCACCGAGTCGTGGTGGGAAATGAAATCAGCGTCAAGAACTCTGAAAGGTCCAGTTCTGACTGTGAACCAGAACCAGCAGAGAACATGGCGACCCAAACCGTCACTGAGTGGAAACTTAAAACAACAGGGATACTGGGAAAATCTCCCTGTTGCTGCTGCACCTTTTCCTACCACACTTCTTCCTTCCACTTAATTTTCTGTGACCTATTATGCTGCCTTGAACAGGTTAGTCCAGGTATATGGGTGAAAGAGAACTCAAATCTTAGATACTGAGGTTTTAGTCTGTTCAGTTTCGCCTATTTTATCAGATTTTCCGCCAACTCAATGTTTAAACTCACACATAAAAACGGCTGCAAACAGATGCACAATTACACAACCGTACATCTTTGAAAAGCAGATGTGGTGCCTCCTGCACAATCAACAAATATGCAGCAAGTGGTTTCTTGATGGTAAGTTGACAAAAAAACACTCGTCTTTTCCAGCAGCCATTGTACAGAACATGCAGTGGGAAAACCAGCTGACCAAACCCACTTGGGTTGCTAGGTAACGGGCGGAACTCGGCTGGGGTTGCTAGGTAACGGGCGGAACTCGGCTGGGGTTGCTAGGGAACGGGCGGAACTCGGCTAGGGTTGCTAGGTAACAGGCAGAACTTGGCTAGGGTTGCTAGGTAACACACAGAACGTAACTCAACATTGAAGCGGCTCATTTTCCAAACATTAAAGACATTAAGTTATTACTAAAAAACAACTGAGTGTTTTTTTAGTGCTAGAGTTGTTTTTAGAAGGAGTATAAACCCAAATGCAAGTAGAGAAACATGCAAAATGTGAATTTTATTTTAATAAGCTTGGATGAGGAACTCTGAACAGCCGACTTCTTTAGCAACAACCTTCTGTGGTTTCCCGTTCTGGTGAAGCGAGTCGGACTCTTCTGTCCAGTCAGCAGTCTTCGCTCTGTTTGTGTATCCGACTGACGCAGAGTCAGAGACCATTTAAAGAAAATCGTTTGCAGGTGTTTTGAGTTTCCATTAATGATATTTTTTCAGTGGTTAGCCATAACCAGAAAGGCTTGGAAAACATCTCACCATGTGTGAGGATTCCTGATAATGAGTTCATCGTATTATCGTTTATTGTGATACATTTTGATTTATTGTTTTTAAATAATGTTTAAAAATACATAAAACTGCCTGTAGCTTGCTGTATTATTATATCTTTACTATTTCTTCACTGTTTGTTCAATGAAAACATCAATAAATATAAATAAATTTCCTAATATGGTTAACTGCAGTTTCTATGTGCAGATTAGTGACATAAATCACATTTATTTAAGTGACTGATGTTTTTCAGAGCATCGTTTGTGTTTGAGGGGCTATTCTACCTAAAAACAGACGTAATAAATAGTTTTTAATGTCACTTTTATTGTTATCACAATGGAACCAAATATATTATGATGAAAACTTTGAGTCTGTACCTCCCAGACCTGGTATGAGTTTCAGACAACTGGCAAGAAATGTCACCCTTTTACACAGTATTCTAACTTTACTGATATAATGGTAAATATCTTCGGAGTTATGACTTTTTCCCTCCACTTAACTTTCCATTAAGGTGCTTGGACGAATCATTCTCACTGCTTATCCTGAACATCTATTCAGCTAATGATGTTCTACAATTCAGAACCTCTCATTTTTTAGTTGAATACCTAAAATAAATTAACTTTTAGATGATTTTCTGAGCCTGTATGAGGAAAAAAACAACTAAAACTGATAAATTTACAACACAAAGATGACACCTTTCAAGGTATCACAATGCTTTTCAATAAATATGGTAATTCTGCACGCTGTCAGCCAGAACAGCAACCCAGGCGTGACTTCAGTCCATCACAGAGAGGCAGTCAGTCGCTCAAGCTGTCAGAAAGTTTGCTGCTATGCAATCCCACCGAGGCAACATCTTGTAACTTCGCTCTCAGTTTTGTTCCCGTGCCAGACTCGATCACGAGCCAAACTCAGGAAATGAGCGTCTCTGTGAACCTGCCGCACTGAGCAGAATGTGAGAATTGACAGGTAAGGCAGCATCTGCCAAAGCGTGCGGCTTCCTGCCTCCGCCATCCCATCGCATTCGGGATCAATCTCCACGACTCGCCGCGCTCATATCCACACGCCGGTTCCTATCAGCCGGGAAGCTAATGTACAGGTTAATTATCCAGGCGGCTCTGTTTGGAGAAAACACGAACGGAGCCAAGAGCGGCTGCTCAGGCCAGCGTGGCGGCTGCCGACGCTCCTCACGTCGGCTCCTCTGGGCTTGTGCTTAATCAGCGGATAAGGAACAGAAAGACGCAAACGTCTTGAAGGCTGAAAAAAAGCAGCAAATGTCAGTCGGTTTGATTTTAAACAGACGAAAGAGAAGGTTCTATTTCATGGCTAGACGCCATTTTAAACAAGATGTCAGAAACGCTTTGGTTCCTGTGAGCTGCGTTTCCATCACGCAAATGATAATTAAGCTAATTTATTTTTGAAGAAAGTAAAAAAGTTTTTTGCTAAAAGGTAGCAAAATTAAGCTTATGTCTGAAAACCTCAATGGAAACAATTTGTCACATGATTCACAGCAGCTAACAGCTAATATGCAAAGTCACTTACTGGTAATCAGAAGAGGATCATCAAAATAATTAGGAAGCTAAACACTGAGCTCTGAGCTAAAACTTATATTTATATGAATTTATAAATATTCATCTCACATTTAGTTTGAAGGTAAATATTTAATTTGGAGCCAAATATTTAGCACATAACCAACACATTTAGTTTGCTAAGTTAATATTTAGTTTTCAAATTAAACATTTAACTAACAGGTTAAACATCAAGCTCAATAATTACATATTTAATTTGGAGCTAAATATTTAGCTTGCTAATTAAGTATTTAGCTTCAAACTTAACACTGAGCTTTCCAACTAAATATTTTAGCTCAGATTAACAGATTATTTGTTATAGTCCACCTCATGCTATCAGCAGGTGAAATTACATGTTAGCTAAATATTTAGTTGGAAGCTAACTACTTAGCTAAATACGCTGTTCTGAGATTGACTGAGATAAATATCTAGTTTGGAGACTAAATGTTGGTGAGCTAAATATTTAGCTTGAGTTAAACGGAGGCGTTTTTGTTCGCCCCTCTGTAGCTCAGATCTTCACAAAGCTTCGGTTTTCAGATGAAAGCGGCTCTAAAGTAGGATTAGGGAATCGCTGTACATGCCCCAGTGACTGAGGAATGTTCTCTCAAAGTACTTCAGGCTCCAAAAACACGTCGTACTATGAGCCTCATTAAAATACTCACGCATATTACTCTCTTTATGCTGCTACCTCTGGAGAAACGTTAAAAAGAAGTGAAATATTTGAGATCGTAATCCTGTTTGGTGTCTTGTTTTAACTGTTCGACCCTGTGCGTAGAAACGGCTCTTTGTTTGATGATGTCACAGAGTGTGCACCGGCAGGCCGGCGGCTGAACTTCGGTTTCAGCGGTCCTTATCTTACCTTTGAGCTGAGATCAGTGGGAAGGGGCGCCAGTTTGAACAAAACATTAGTCAAACACTCATTAAGATGCAGACACAGGACTATGCTAATTTCACCCTACATCTTAGAGAACTAAAAAGACAACAAAAAAGGGCTTCATTAAAAACTGCATGCATTATTCAGAGAGCAGAGGACCAGAGGAACGGCTTCAGGCCAATTATTCTCTGCTGGAATCTGCTGCTGCTCCTGGTCTCATCTTTTGAAAGTAGGTTACAACACTCTGTCTTTTGTTTTGGGGAAAGAAAGGGCACAAAGAGCAGAGATACACTGTATGGTAGGAAGATAGTTTCGTGTCAAAGATGAGACTTCAGGGCGAGAAAAAGTGCAGCAACAAAACTCAGAAAACTCAGAAAAGAAAACTTTTTTCCTTTAAAACGAGGCTGATAGATTCAGTTCGATTTTAAACCAGAACTCCAACATCTGCTCCACCTGCAGCTGCTGTGGCTCTGAGTCAAACCAGCCTGTTCCCCTCCTGGCCTGTGGGGGCGCTGCACCAAGAACCACTGAAGGAAACGACACAAAAACTTCTGAAGACGCTGAGAGCAACTTCCTTCTTCACCAGATGGAAACAAGATGGAGGCATCAGATTTTAGCGGTTTTGTCTTTGGCTAAAGACCACGAGTCATTTCTCCAGCTAGCGCTAGGCTAGCATGTTTGTTTTGGTTGTATTTACCCAGAAAGCCCTGCGTTGTAGTCCACTTCCTGCTTTTGGAGTGATCTCCGGTCCGCTTATGCCTTCAAACCGCACCAGAGTTCACTTCAACTGAACCGAGACCAAAGTTTGTACCAGAGTTCACTATTTTGGTTTGATTAGCGTTCACTCCTCCCCACATCAACCGGACTTTCTAGACAGACGGACTGGAGTTGGATTAAAGCAGACTGAACAAAGCTGGTGTGAATTCAGCTTCAGAAATATCTTCAGTCCAAAACCAAATCAATGAGTTTTGGAAGTGATTCTGAGGTTAATTTGTAAAACATTTTTAGATAAAGTGATGCTATTTTGGAGACACCTAACATTGATTTAATTCAGATTAAATAAATCTAAATTCTCATTTTCTGTGTTGTTCTCTATGTAAACATGCCACAATGGAAACAGAATAACCCTTCTCCCAGAAACGGCCATGTAAAGGACACAGTTGCCCTATCGGAGCAGAAGGAAGTGGCTCTGCTGCTGAACAGAGCGACCTCTTACCGCTAGAACACAGGGAGGCGTGTTTGTGCAGAAACAGAGGAAGTCATGTGCCGGCTGCCTGGTTTTCTGTCACTCATCCTGTCACAAGACTTCACCGTGCCTCATTGTGAGTGTGTGGCTGAGAGAGTGAGTCCTGCAGGAACCTACAGTTAAATTTAACTTGCATCGACACGAGGCAGCTTTCCAGCTCCTCCTTGGCCTCGGCCGGATTCTTCCAGTAGCGTTTAATTGTCCTGCAGCGCCGTGTTGGTGTGTGTTCCTGTTGGGCTCTGGGCCCTCTCCGGGGCCTGCTGCGTAATGAGAGCAGACAGAGCATCAGCAACAGAACCCCAGACCTGTCCGCTGCGTCGGAGACGTATGGGGTGACACACACATACACACACACAGAGCCAGGGACAAACAGGGTGCAGATGAGGACATCTGTCTTCCAACCTCCAGAGTTGCTCTACAAACTGGGCCAGTAGTGGAAAATGGCAAACATGATCCCTTTAATGAGATAATATAAAAATAAAATGTGTTAATAACTCGCTCATCATCGTTGAAGCTCCTACTGCAGCTAATCTCTACCTCCTGTCTATACTACAAGCGCTAGCTGCGCTAACTGGAAGGCACCAATCACAAACAGTTACGCTAACGTGCTACACAAGCACGAAATTTAGGAGCAACT